GTTTGGCTTGCTCTCTTCCCAACCGTCTATCTATCGGCAGGAACTGCAACAGCTTTAATTCTAATAGGAGGGGAGACCATGAAACTATTTTTTCAGATAGTTTGTGGTCCCTTATGTTCATCAAATCCCCTAACAACAGTAGAGTGGTATCTAGTGTTCACTTCACTATGTATCGTTCTATCTCAGCTCCCAAACCTCAATTCAATTGCAGGACTTTCACTCGTTGGAGCCGTGACAGCCATAACTTACTCCACAATGGTTTGGGTCCTCTCTGTAAGCCAGCCAAGGCCACCCACAATTTCTTATGAGCCAATTACATTGCCATCCTCTTCGGCTTCTGTCTTTGCAGTCTTGAACGCTCTTGGTATTGTAGCCTTTGCTTTCAGGGGGCACAATTTAGTTCTGGAGATTCAGGTATGCTCTCTGTGAGTCCGGAGTAATGAAGTTATATTCTCCTTGTTAAAAAAAAAAACATACATAATTACTTAAGTTGGGAATTTGCACTTTTAATTCTTATCTAACAGAATTTCATTTACCTGAATTAGGCAACAATGCCATCAACCTTTAAACACCCAGCTCATGTGCCCATGTGGAAAGGAGCCAAGGTTGCCTATTTCTTCATTGCAATGTGTTTGTTCCCTGTTGCAATTGGTGGCTTTTGGGCTTATGGAAACCTTGTAAGTTTACCAACCTTGTAAGGAGCATATTGGTATCATGGATGACTTGATTTCAGCCATTTCATCAAGTTTCATAAATTTTTGCATTTTTCAGTCTTGTTGATTGTTCCGTATGTTCTGTTTTTCTACAGATGCCTTCTGGAGGGATTCTCAATGCCTTGTACGGATTCCACAGTCATGACATCCCTAGAGGACTTCTTGCAATGTGTTTCCTCCTAGTTGTGTTTAATTGTTTGAGCAGTTTCCAGATATACTCAATGCCTGTATTTGACAGTTTTGAAGCTGGTTACACTAGTCGTACCAACCGTCCCTGCTCGATTTGGGTCCGGTCTGGTTTCCGAGTTTTCTACGGATTCATCAACTTCTTCATAGGAGTGGCACTCCCCTTCCTCTCCAGTCTTGCCGGGCTACTAGGAGGACTCACACTTCCAGTCACATTTGCCTATCCTTGCTTCATGTGGGTTCTCATTAAGAAGCCTACAAAGTACAGCTTTAACTGGTATTTTCATTGGATCTTGGGTTGGCTGGGGATTGCGTTTAGTTTGGCCTTTTCCATTGGAGGCGTGTGGAGCATGGTCAACAATGGACTTAAATTGAAGTTCTTCAAGCCGCCTAATTGATGTTTCAATGGCCCCTGCTTCATAATTCTTCAAATTTTGTTAAGAATGTTATAAACACTGTTGCTTTGCTGCAAATTAAATACGTCTTGTGCGTACATATTCGTGTTCTTTTGTGGCACATGGTTAAATGGTGTAATGGTTGGGAAGTTTGTTCTGGTTCTGTAACAGATAACTTTATATACTTACATAGCCCTTCCACCTGAGCTGTTTGTGGTCCTCTGTAATGAGTATTCAAAGAAGAAAAGTTAG